TTTTTATCCCTCAAACCTATTCTTTAGTCATAAAATGTCTAGTCACTCTACCAGTAGTAGGAATAGACTATTCAGCATGTGCAAAATTTTCTTCTTTAGTCGCTTTTCATTTTTAAGATCAGAATAGAAAATCATTTTCAGGGTAGCAGTCATGCAATTGATCTGCTCAACAGCTGTATCATTGTCTTTCCACTTGATCTAACATTTGTAACTCACCAAATTTTGAAATCGTTGACAATCTAATTTGCTATTCTAGTTTAGTCTTACCTCAATATTATAATACTAAGACAAATAGTACCTAAAACAAAACCAGTAACAAGTAATAAACAAAAATTAAAGGCAACGCGCCTCCTTTAAAAATGCTATTACCCTAAAGTTTTGTTGTCTAGTTCAGTTGTTCAAAACAGGAAAATTTGAGTAGTAGTGCTGTGATGCAAAGAATGCAAATTGAATCCCAGGTTTATGTAGGTAAATAAGGTTTTATGAAGAATGTTTATGACATCATGGATTATCTTAAGTGCTCAGGTACTGAGGAACTCATTCCTGTGTGCTAGAATCTATCATGATACAGTCCTGTGTTCCTTTTTAGCAATATTTTTGAGTTTTAGCATTAAAATGTAAAAGATTATAAAATATGGTTTCTATTTAATCTGTTAATATCGCAGGTCCACTCTGTAAGTAAAAGAAGGAAGAAAAGTCTAGTGAATATGTATTTGGTAATATCCCTGGGGATTCAGTTGCGTAGGTGTGATACAAATGGGGAAAATGGCTCTCCAGAGAGAAATGTGTGGAGACGAACAGAGAGAAACCTTTTTGCCAGGCTGGGGGGGTTTGCTGCTGGCTGCTTGGCTGTGCGGTGGCATTGTTCGGAGGAAGTGCACCTGTTCTAACATTTTCTTCAGCTGGAAGCAGACAGGTTTGTTGAATGCTCTAATTGCTGGTAGGCATGAAAGGATTGCCTAGAAGATTGCTTCCTAGGCTGTCCTTTGATGTTTCGTATGATTGGGAAGTGAAGACTTTTTTTCCTTTATCCATCTTACTAATAGGTGAGAATAAAATCTCTCTTCTCAGCTTTCATTCCAGAAGATATCATGGCACATTCAGTCCGATTAGCTGTATCATGGGCCAAAAGACTCCTTTTATCTTTTGAAAAGATTTATAAAACAGAGGCATAGTCATCACAGTCCACATTCACAAAACACTATTAGCGACGTGTTCAGTTCATTGCAGGGGTCTCTGGGCAGGAGAAATACTCTTCTGTGAACACTGGGTTTGTCAAGTGCTATAAATCCATGGCTAGGAATTTTGTATACAATCATTTTAATACATGTTATGAATATTGAACTGCAGTTAGAAAAGGTTCTCTGTTTAATTGAAATTATGTTAATTTATAACCACAATAATTCTAATACAGAATGCAACTTTTGCCTTATTTTTCAGCAAAATTTGAATAGTAGAGAACTGCACCGAGGCTTGATATTTTGAAGGTCCTTCTTGTACAAATAAATATGAGGTGTGACTAGAGCACTATGAAGTATTGTAATAAATTTAGACTGTAACTAAAGCTACGAACAGTACAGTGTGATATATTTTGTTTGCAGAAATTTGCAGATTAATAGAGTAACCAAAAAACTCTGTAATAGGTTAAATGATAAGTTTTTACTTACTTACCTTAATAAGAAATGCCTAGCTGAAAGAAATTACGGTGCATTACTTTGACTTGTGTAAACTCACTAACACCTTTCTCTTGAGAAGGTGAACTATTGCCAACATACTTGGAAGTACCAGAATACTTAAATATATGTAGGTTGTCCCAGTAGAATAATCTTCCTCGATTGAATTTGGTTTACGTCTCTTCTGTGATACAGAATTTATATTCAGATCCATCACTTGCAATGTTCAGGAGTGCATGGAGTGTGTGCCTTTGAATCAGAGCCTATTTTACTTTCTAATGAAGAGTTGAGAATTCTGCATAAGAAACCTATGTCTGTTAAATATGACTCTGAAATGTAGTGTCTAAAATTTTGAAAGATAAGTATTGATTTAGGCTTTATTGGAAATTAAATTGTGGTTTTTGAATCTGTTGTAGAATTTGGGAGAAAACTTCCAAAGTATCTTCTGAAACTTAGGGATCCATATGTGATTTCTGTATTACAGAATTATGAATACAATTCCCTTTTTTTTAGAATTGAATGCTTTTTTTGCAGACTAGCTGTTCTGGGATTCAATTTTTGGAATGCTGAAACATGTCAGACTTGATCTTTATAGCTGCCTTTTTGAGTAAACTGGTTACAGTGCCAGTAGTCAAGGCTGTTAAACTTCTATTGATTTTTGTCATGGTCACAGCTTCCCAACTTTCTCTTCTGAGGACAAAGAGTGTGTATTTTGTCTTGTGGTGTAAGCAAGGAATATATTTACAACTGTGGCCTCCAATTTTCATTTTGTTGTAATGCAATGAAGTATTTTAAATACCATGCCTGGAACTTTGTTTACTTGGCCAAGTGGTCAGTCTGTGGCCTTTATCTGTGGAACCAAGTGTTTATCAGGTTTCTGTATGAATCATGAAGTGCATTAAGAAACATTTTGCACCAGTGTTTTATTTTAGATGTCTTTATTATAAAGTATTGATGTGCTAAATTTTCCAAAGGTATTTTAGGTCCAGGAAATTTTTTCCCTCACAACTTTCTAAATTTATTATGCATGTCTTTATATGTATACTTCTGTGTGAGCTTGTATCTGCTTAAATATAATTCATTAGTTCTGATGTTTTAGTTAACTAAGTAAACATGAATATCTCAGGTGTTTGGAGGCAGGGTTGCTAATATGCATACCCTTAGGATGTAAATACTTCAAGAGAATAAAATCTAGGTAATTATATTATTCATGTCTCAATGGATAGGGAGAAGGTTGAGTGTTTGGTTCACCTCCCTGTTCACCAAACAGCAGAAATGAGGCAGTTCTGAGACTCAGTCTGGTACAGTTAAGAAAATAAGCAAGTCTTGTTCAAAGCTGAAAGGGAAAAGATTGCAGATCACAGTCATGGATCCTGGTGTTTTGTTCACTACTAGTCGCTCCCTACTTAGTGCTGTAAATGCAGAGAGTACTACTGCCTAAAAAATTCTTAATGATGACCCATACAATGCAATGCCTATGTTTGAAAGTGGCCTTCTCAGTGTTCGTCTCCAAGTCACCGTCTTAAGGGTTATAAGTAAGCCATCTGGAAAGAATGGGGTGACTCATTCATTTGATGTGGCTGCTGGTTTTGTGGCCTTATACAGGGAGAAACAATGTGGACTGGGTCATAGCCCTGCAGGAAATTTTTCAGACATCTCTTTGATAGGGACAAAGTCTTGCTGGACTGTTTTCTTAGGTTTATTCTGATTTAGCCTGTTGAAAATAGTCATAGAATAACTATATATTTTGTATTAGGTAGACATACAATTACAATTATGTCTGTTTTTTTCTTCTTGGTGGGTATTGGTGGCATCACTTAAATGTGTCTCTGTGTGCTATTTCATTTTTGTATGAAGTGTTCAGAACTGCAGCAGAAATTGCACTCTGAAAATGGAAAAGGAAATTAAATGTGTGAGATTAAAGTGATTTAATTTTGAGAGCTTGATTTATTCAGACAAAACTCTGGGAAATTCAGAGCTTAGCTTGAGCTGACATCCATCAATCAAACGCTTGTGAAAAGAATAATGCTAGTAATCATAAAAATAAAAAAGATGTGAGATAGAAGCAGAGTGCAAGTCTTAATGATCTAGAACCATAACTGTATTCTAAATGAAAGGTTTTGTATTTAATTTCCTGAAGAAAGTATTAAGGGTGAGGAATAGGGGAGAAAAATATTTCATGGGAAGTTTAGTTAATGGATGGAACATCTTTCAAAGCCTGAATAGTTCAATACCCCACAACTTTGACTGCTCCTAAAAGCTGAATAGTGTAAGCACATAGTGTATTCTGTAATGTCTCATTTTAATCGTGTACTGGTGTTCGTAAAAGTATATGCAATGATTTTTTTAAAGGAGAACTTATAAAATAGATCTTTTTAATTCATTGAAATCAGTGAAATACTTCAGTAATTTCTGACAATCATGGGGACTGGAAGATGATGTACTGATATACTACAGTGTTACCCAAGTGACTGCATGGCTAATTGCCAGTGTAAAAGATGGTTTACAAACGTACTATGTTAAGAAACAAAGTATCTTTCATCCTGTATGAAACTCTGAAAGAAAAAGATTAAAATCAAATATAATAAACTCAGTCACTTTGTATTTGAAAATAAGAAAGATTCTGAACTGAATTGGTGTTGCCTTGAAACAGATTATATTTTTTCTGCTATGTCAATTGATTTGTGGTCAGGCAAGCTACAGGAGCTGATGTTGAATTCTAAAGGAGCGTAAAAAAAACCCTTCAAAACAAGAAGATATTTTCAGCAAAGTTTTTACTTGCATAATTTAAGCAAATCTTAAAAACATTTTAAGTGTAGTATTCAGTATTTCGTTTATAATGCTCTTCTGAATGTATTTTATGTTAAGCACTGTTCAATTCTACAATTAAAACATATGGGGAAGGTTCTAATTGGCAGACCAGTTAAGAAACTTTGTGCCACCTTGAAGTGGCACTTTGTAACAGACTGGAGAAATGGCTAAATTCTTGTGAGTTGTGAAGGTATTGTGAAGGAATCTTGTGTACCAGCATGCTACAGAAAAGTTTAGCGTTCAAAGTATGTTTTAATTTAATGAATGTTACATAATTTTTTATGCAGTTAGCAAATTTGATTGTATCAAATCTCATAAAGAGATTTAACTCTCTTTATGAACTGGTCCAAACAGAATAGAAAAGGAGATAATTATGGAGAAAAAGAGGAAATTGAATAAATATTCATAATGTATGTAAAATTTCTTTTTATCCTAATCTATTATTTTTATCTAGGTCACCTTCCACATTGTTCTTTTTCTGATAACCTTTTTTGTTTTATCTCACTTTCTCTGTAGGACTGGCTCATCACATCTGTAATCTCCTAACAGAAGCTGTGGTTCTGTACTTGGAGGCAGATGATAAAAGCAGCACCAAGACAGTAAATGCACTGCTTCTGTCCTTGCTTGACATTTTGCAGTGCGTGCTTATGTATACAGCAAACATTGTGCGCCAGACTTTGCAGGTATGTGATTTATTTCCTGGGGCCATTACCATCTTAAACAATTTTTTAGATAACTTCCTGTTATCCTAATAATGAGATTCCCACTATTCTGATTTTATTGAATTTTTAGTATGGTGGAAAATCAATTTGTCTTCCAAGTTTCTGTTTGAATCAGTGCAAGTCATGGTATTGGTAGGACTTCCTCCTCCAAGAAAGCCATCCTCGTCCTTAAAAAGGAAGATACAATTCAAAGAAATTTCACGTAACTCTCTTAGTAACATATCAAGAAGAAGCATTCATCTTTTTTTAGATATGATGTTAAGCTAAGAAATATTGCTTTGTTTTTAAATGATCTGCTGAATTTTTCTTTAGTCAAGTTTTTTGTTTGCTTGCTTTTGTGCTTTGTTTTCATTTCTCTTTTTTTCTAAAGAAGGCTTAATGTAAGAAGTTGATGTTGAAATTTGAGCTTTTTTCTTTTTTTCTACGCTGATTTACATGATCAGCCATGTTATCAACCAGATATTTCACTGGGAGGTTTTTGTTTTGTTTTTCTTTAATTTTTGGAAGAAAATTTAAATGTGATGGTACAATACTTGGTCTTTTTTGAGTCCTCTGTAATGGTTTTCTCATCTAAGAATCACTTTGTAAATCAAATTTTGTAGGCTAATTCCCGATTGTCATATTTTTAGCATCACTCCTCCGTAGAGAGCTAAATTCTGTACTTAGGTTCCATATAACAGTGGTGAGGCCAGTTATTCTGGAGGACACGTGAGGAAAGAGGATCTTGCACATGGTTTGGTAGTATTAGTCAAACTGAAGGTTTTTATTTGGATACAAAATTAAATCTATTCATTCAAAGCCAAATTCTATTCTCGCTTTACTTGAATATTCAGTTAATTGATGCACTAAAACTCCAGCTCCAGTTTTGTCTAACTCTTGTCAAAGTAATCTGCTTTGCTCTGGAATGCTAATAAATTACAAGAAGCAGCTGGAAAACTGAGTTTTGAAGCATAGCTCTGTCCTGTGCCCTTAAAAAAACAAATTTTACCATGATGTTACTTGCCTTGGCTTACTCATCTTGACAGTACCTGTCAGAAGGCCTGAGAGTTCTACAGGTGTATCAGTACATGTGCACTATTGAATGATGGCCATTACCTACTGACTACATAGTGTTCCACTATCCACGTGTCACTAAATGCATCATGAATATTACTCTTGGACTGTTTTTTTATAGAGATCTTCTGAGTAAGATGCCTTCTAAAACAGAACTTGAAAAGGAGAATCAAATTTTCTTGTATTATCCATTTTTGAGGCTTAAGTTGACTTTTACAAATGGTAGTACCTCCACTTGAATCCTTTTTATTTAAGCATTTTGTGTAAAAGGTGATAACCTTATCCAGCTGCATTGGGAAGGTGACTTACTTGCCTTTCTTCATTAATATAAACACTCCATTTTTTTGTCTTCTCTGCATTTGTTGTCATTCTTGGACTTCAGCATTCCAGACCATTGCGGTGAATCTCAGTGAGGGACATACCAATGTGACTTCTCACCTGGAGAAACAGCTCCTTGGATCTCTTTTATTTTAAAATTCTTTCCAGAAGAAAGGCACTATCCTTTCCACTCATCAGTATCAACAGTGGAGCTTGAGCAGTAGTGTCTCCTGCCTTAGGGGACTTGCTCCTCTGTTCACTTAACCAAATGAAAATCTTCAGGTATTGCACTTGGACAGTGATTTTTAGGACTGAGCTATAAATGAAAGACAATAAAAAATTATTTTAAAATGTCTTCTTTAGACAAAATGTTTACTTTTTCCTCTAGCAGATTGACCATATAGGGTCATAGTCCAAAGCTGGTTCAAGATAATGAACTTAAATGAAAGATCTTGCAAGCAGACCTTTCTGGTGCCCTGGGGCAGGGATGGGTCATAAATACGACTGCCTAGGTTGGTAGTGTGTCTTGATGAGGGGGGATGAGTGGTCAGAATTACAAGTGGTAACAGATCTTATCTCAGACTTTGACCACTTGGAGACTTTATTATTCCTCTTTCAAAAATAATTTAAATTATTGTTATATACTGTGAATATTCCAGGATACAGAGTAAGGCAGATGAGCAAAACTGGGCAATATTGCTGAGAATCCTAAATTTTCAGTCACCTTGATTTTCTTGGTTTGAGTTGCATGTGAAATTGTACCTGATAAAGGGGAAAAAAACCATTTGAACTTTAATGTTAAAATAGATGTGTCATGTTGACAGAAATTACAAATGCATGAAACATTTATGACTTTGGATGTATCTTTTACATGTAGAGTTTATTGCGTTTTTCTGAAGAAATGTCATGTGGATCAGTATATTCAGCCTGTGCAGAATGGGCATGACAGCAGGAACCCCTTTTGCTTTGTGCTTATTGTCACAGACACAAGGAGTGTAACTGCTCATTGGGAGCTCAGGAATATTTAACTAGAAGAGTTCATAAGTCTCCTTCAGACTTCTATTCACGCTTCCGCCACCTAATGGACCTAATTTGTTCCTCATACCAGAACAATCACCAAGGTCGCTTTTGATTTTTTCTCTCTTATTAAGGCACAGAAATCTGGCACAGGAGGGGACACACAGGCTGCCGAAGACCTTCTGCTTATCAATAAACCCCTGACGGACCTAATTAGCCTGCTTATTCAACTGGTGAGAATTTGTGTGTTTGTAAGCCTTTTGGAACGTTTCTGAAGTTGGAATTATTCAGTAGAATTCAACATCTTAGAGCTCTGTTTGTTAGTTTTTCATTGTTTATAAGCTACCACCTAGTACTATAACACTTTGTAAAAAGCTGTAGGTCACAATGACTTACAGGTTACCAGTGATGTCAGAATAAATCTGTCTGTCCCAAGCATAGAAGTGGGATGAGGGGTAGATTCTCAGTTTGGATACATATGTATAACCAAATTTTAGCCCTTCAGAATGAACTAGTGATCACTGCATATGGAAAGGATGTATTGAAAATATGACACTAATAGTACTGCTACCATTACAAAAGCCAGAAAATGCAAAATTAGTTTGCAGTGAGTGATGCCTTGAAATATTATTTTCTTGAGTTTCAGCCTTCTGAGTTTTCTCAAGGGTTTTCTTTTATTTTGACATGACCCTGAGGGATTTATGAGTGGGAGTGCTCCCCAGTGATCTGTAAACATCTTTGAAGTGTGTCTGTTTACAGACACACAAAGTCCTTTCCAGGGTTTACTAGGTGTCACAGCACTGCATTGAAATCTCCACAGAGCGCTGCACTGTGGCCCTGATGCATCCCATCAGCTCAACCTCCATAATACTGTGCCAGAGATCTGTATTGACTGTGTGTAATGATTTGTAGTAAGGAGTGCTTCTTGAGCTGGACAGGGCTTTTAGAGGCTGCATCAGCCTTTTATTCAATATAAAGCCATTAAAATGTGAGAATTTCCCTGTGGCATATCACAGTATCCTTTCCAGGTTATTTCACTTAAAGGCATTTCAGATTCACTGTGTTCTCTTCCAGACATGATTCTTTTTTTCCATTTAAATAGAGGTTTTCAGGTGTTTTGTGATATCAATAGTGTGGTCCTTTTACTATCTTTAGCACTGTCTCTTATCTTCTATTTTTGGGAAGTGTGTGATTCCTATTAATTTTTGGCGTTATACTTGTTGCTAAGTCCTCCTTTGATGGATTTCCTTAAACCAGTTATTGGCAAAGGCTATTTGGAAATGTTCACTGAATGATCTAAAACAAAGTGACTGAATTTCAACTATATAATATTTTATCTTTATAAATTCTTTTAATTTATTTTTTATTAATTTTTTAAAAATCACTATATATGATAAATAGTAGGACATGAAGAGATGCAAATGTTCCTTTAAAGTGAAACTAGTCATAAATTTAAATTCTATTAACTCTCTAAAGAACAGAAAATTAGAAGACAAGTTTTACTCAGCTTATGCCACCTGGAAGTCTTTTATAGGTTTTTAATTAAAGAATAGGTTAATTGTACAGTTAGCATGTACTGATTAGATTGTTACTTGCCCTTGTATTTCAGAAGCAGGGCTGCAAATTATCACTGGGTTTTGCTTTGTTCTGTACTTCTACAGATTTTGGTATGTTTAAAATGGTGATTTTAAATCTGCTGATTTTAACATACAGGTAAAAAATAAAGACCATTTCTTTTAGCCACTTCTTTTAGGTGCCAGTGGTTGTTCTCTGTATTCATTGGGCTGTGTGGCTACATAACCCTTTATTGCTGTTTTGAGGCATTCATTTCTTTGCGAACTTTATTTTCTGGAGATAATGGAGATCTTAAATGCTGAACTGATAATTACTTTAAGATATTGAGTTAAAATTATTTTCTCTGGTTTGCTATTTCTACCTATCTTACCATATTTATGGTTTCTTGTGTCACCTTGAGTAATTGTTTTCCCTCATTGATATGTATATCCCTCAAGTTGGTTATTATTCCATGCCCCATTTACTTGGCTTTTTATTTTCCTCAAGTTCTACATGTTTCTCTCTCTCAGTAATCTCTCAAAAAATCAATGTGAGTTAAACTTGAAAATGTCAAACACTTAGAATCAATTTTTCCCTTCTGTAATTGTGATTTAGTCTATCACTAAAGGCATAGCAAAGCAAGTGTAGGAAACCTAGATTGCATGTAAATGAAACTTCAGGGTTTTAAGAATGCAAAAGAAGAAATAATTACAAATTCTATCATGCAGAAAACACTGCAAATATGGAGAATTCAATATTTAATCCCATGATCATTATGCCCTTAATTGATCAATAAGAGGAAAATAAATTGAGCATTTAGTCTTCTGCTTGGCAGTTTTGTGTTTAAAAGTTAATTACACTTACCTTTGCTCGGTAATGTTCCTCTGCTTAACATAAATGTAATTTGAATATTATACTGAAACTTGCAGCAATTATACAAGATATGAAACACCTTCTAATTTTTTATGTACCCATTATACAGAAAAAAAAATAATGTTTACTTTTGAAATCACCTCAGTGTGGGTTTTCAGAAACTTTCAGAAACCTGCCAGTACCTATAAAAAGGAGTTTCATTTTCTGTAGGTCTCAGATTTAGTTCCTAGGTGTAGATCTTCCAGTCTTTTCTGCAGCCTATCAGATTGCTGCGAGAGAATGTTTCTTGATTTCTGGTGGTAGGCTTCTTCATCATAATATTACTAGTAAAATTTGCAGCTACTTACTGTGCTCTGTATGTTACTGTTGGAAGTCCAGCTAATCATGTGCAAATGGGAAAAGGGCAAATATGAAGCCTCAGTGCACATGGATGAATGAGATGATCTCTTCTAGGTCTTTTCTGTTTCTATGTTGCCCTGATTCTAAGGCTGTACCCAGAATTCGTTTTCAGAGCACATGAAGGTATTTACCACCCAATAATGAAAGTGACTGCAGAAGAATGATAAACCCTGGAGGCTGTAGAATTTTCTTTCACATTTCTTAGTGATACAGACTGTTCCATGATCAGAGTGGAGAGATATATGTTTATTTCCTGTATTGTATAATGTATTGCTGTTATTGTATTTTAAATGTTACCTGGAATTATATTTGAAGAATTCTCTTATACAGAGCTACCCTAAAAAACCAAAAAACACCCAAACAAACACACCAGAGGAAATAAGAATATGTTGTCTCATGCATAGGATTTCAGAATGAGGATTTACTTTCTCAACAATTAGACTAGATTAAAATGAACTGAAAATACATATATATATATTTTTAAAATATTTTCCCCTAGGTAAGAGAATGGCAATTTTGCCCTAAGTCAAAATATAATCTCTTACTTTTTAATTTAAACCTGTGCATATTTACTAATAAGAATAGCAGAGTAAAGCTAGCAGATTAATAGTGATGTTTTGCTTTTACATTTTGTTCAATGTTTGCAAAATCATCTTCCCTACAGATCCCAATGGTACTTCTTTTACAGCACACTCTATAATCACATTAGTGATCTAATGGATATCTATCTCTTATCGTAATAAACTTCTATGTGTATAACCTCATTAATGCACTGAAATAGTGTCCCCTCTGGGTGATCCAGACAGTTTCATTGTAACTCTAAAATTAGATGCTGTAACAACTCCAACAGTGTGAAAACTGCCACTTCAGCTCAAATGATCACACGTTTCTTGCAGCGGTTTGCAATTCATGAACACACTGCAACTCAGTTCAAAATGATGGAATTTTTGAGAACAGACTGCAGAAATATAGACATGCAATAACAAGAAACTTCCTGCTCTTCAGCACATTAAAATACACAGAGAAGGTTCCATCTAGAAAGGAAGAGAAGTGAATTTTGTCTTATAAGCTCTTTTAGAGGAAGTTATAACATGGCCATAAAAATTAAGTAAAGAGTAATATGTTGTCTGTGTTGCACAGAAGTCTTGTCATGCAATGTAATTTTTAAATAAATGAAAAATAGATCTACAGTTTTGAGTTAGAGAATGGAAAAATTTATGACCTTAGCTGTTCAGTAATTTATTTTAACATGCTAGATTGTCTTCAAGCTATACATTAGCCCAGAATAATAACAGCTGCAAGGAGAAGTACTACTAACATTTCTACCTTGCTGAAGGGCTGAATCCATAATCCCCTCTAAGACTGATAAAGCAAAAAGAAACGAAAGGCCACTAGACTTTTTTCAAGTTAATATGAAATATTAAGGGTCAGATATTTTCTTAAAGTGATAGAACTCTGGTTTATTTTTTTTGTGGGTTTCTCCTCCCCTGAAAGAATAAAAACATAAGTATCTGCTGTCATGAAAAACTGTAAATGTGTTTGAAAGAAATGTACTTCATACCAAATTGAATTATGATTAGAAAAATAATCAGCATGCTGTTTCAGCTAATTAAGAGCTGAACTATCCACCTATATTCATTGTTGAGCAACATGATTCTGTCTGTGCTGTTCTTATTAAACATGAGATATTATTTACTTGAAAGCTGAATTTTTCATTCCTTGGTTTTCTATATTTTCAGATATTTATTATATTTTCAGTCATTGCTTTTGTTTTATACCAATAATTTTCTTCAGATCCTGTACTCTTTGTAGCCAGTACTAACAACTGCCTGGCAGCCAATGCTAAATTTCAGGTTACCAGCTTACGACTTTTGACATCTAAATCACTACTTGTCAGTAGAGTTACAGAGAAAAATGCTGATGCAGGCATACTTAAATAGGGACATTGCTGAGAGTTCCTCTTACACCTTAATTATTGATGAGTTAGACTGAAAGCAAATGATCTTATTTTCTCCAGAGTAAATATGGTCTTTCCTATTCCAAACTTAGTTTTCTCTTCATACAAGACCCTATGCTACTATTGTTTTACCCTGAATTTTTCCAGGACAACAGCAACTTGCTCCCCAAAGTCCAGATAATGCCAAAGCTCAAAGGGACTCTGGGGAAGCAGAAGAGCCTGAAGTACAACAGAGGATGAAGGATTTCATTGACATTTGTGATTGAATAGTGCGATGTCATGGTTGGCAAGTATTGGGAACCCTGCAGTGATACTTGGAAAATAGTCACTGAAAGCCTGATACCCCATGAAAAGCAAGTCTATATGATGCCAAGACACATTGGATGGAAAGTTTTCTTTCATTAGATGGAAAGGGTCTTCCTTTCTCTTGTTGGGGAAAAAATAAAAACAACAACAACAATGATAAATGGTTGGACACCCTAGGAGAAGACAAGCAAAGCCATGCACCCAAGCACAGCTCCTTCTTACCTGTTGCAGTGTTCCACTGCCTCACTACCTGGGGTTTCCTGCTGAAATCAATCTCCTTTGGGAGTAACACTAACCAGATGGACTTGCTTATTTGCTTCCTTGACAGTCATGTACCCTTCTGCTGTTGGGAAGAATCTCTAAGTTTCATGGTGCTTTATGTGTTTCTTCACACGAATTTGTTGTAGGGGCAGTCATCTACTGAGACTGACACCTTTCCACTCCTTTGATATTTAGTGAATATCTCAGGAAAAGAGCTTGGGAACAGTCTCACTTTGAAGTATATCTGTTGTTATTACTGACTAAACATGGTAATTTTTTGCTTGTGGAACCCAGGGAACTCCACTGCAATACCCAGGCAAGAATGTATCTATCCAAGATTTTCACTAATTTTTCATTTTTTATATTTGGTTAGCCAACAAACAATATTGGAAAATCAAATATTAGTCCTTTTACTATGCTTTTCTTCAGGGAGTGGTTGATATACCTGTCTACAGTGATTCAGTAACAAACTGAAAGTTGGAATGCTGCTTTTAAAAGGTGTGAGAGACATACATTAAAGTAGTTTAATTTGTCCTTTCTTTATCTAATGGCATTTTTGTTTCAGTGGTGGAAATACAAGTCGACTCAAAGCCCAAAGTGAGATCAGTGGACTTTTTTAAAATTTAATAAAGATTCAAGACACAAATGAAGCCATAAAGCTTGTTACTATTTTTAGCTTTTCCTGTTTTTTGGCCTTGCTAATTATGTTGATGATGTTATTAGATAATTCTTGATGTTGGAAAGGAAATAATCAAATAGGTGGCATTTAGATTGGAATGAAGAAAAACCATACAGCAAAACTGAGGAAGAAATAGCTGCTGTGGTCCTGTCACTTGCACAGTATTAGGTCAAATAGAATGTGATATGTCTTGGGGCTATGTATTCAGAGATTACATCTCAGTTCAGTCTGTTTTAAACAGCCAACTCTATTAAGCTAGTGGAAAACAGGATTGTATTTGCATGCAGATCCCTGGAGAATTGCTGCTTGAAAATTTGAGGGGTATATGTCTGATGGTATGTTCAGATTGCTTTAAAGTAACTGGATGGGTTTTCCTTAAAATGAAAAAACTTAGGTAATTCATACTGCAGATTAAATAAGTAATCATTATTGAAATGGTTGGGCATATTATATAAATGGTTGGACAGATTATATAAACGGTTTCCTTTTATTGTCAGTAAGGATAGTCTGTTAATTGTACTTTAATCTAGCTTCTTTGTATGTAAATAGTAATTTTGGAATTAAAAAAATGAGTGGGAGTGATAAGGTGTACTTAATTGGTTTAAGACCACTACCAATATATTTTGTTCAGGTCATAGACTAAAAGATGAGAAAAAGCCATTGAAATCCTTTAGTTGAGGGTTGTGTATAAAGTAAACCAGGACTTTCCTAAATTAATTCCTCATTATAGTAAATAGGTTTGTGGGGGTTTTTTTAGGAAAAAAAAAGGGGGTTTTGTGATATTTGAGTTGCCTTTGATGGAGAATCTGTCACAGTTCTAAGAAAGTTGTTTCAATGGTTAATCATTCTAATTAAAGAGAGAAAGAAAAAAAGGAAATCAAAGTATTATCTTCCTTCTAATCTGAATTGCTTTGTCTAAAGTTTTGAGCTATCATCTCTTACCAATCCTTTTTCAGGTAAAGGCATTAACCTATCCACAGCCTGCTTTTTCTCACATGTAACTGAGAGGATATGATCAAATGCCCTTTAACCTTCCCTTTGATATTCTATAGACATTGAATTCTTTCAGTCCTTTGCTGTTATGTTTTCCAGTCTATCATCTTCTTGCCTGTTCCCAAGAAACCTCTATGATTTTTTTCACTAGCTTTTGTGAACTCTCTATGCTGAAACTAGGCATTGCATTCCTGTTGCGGTTCCAAAATGTCATTGTCAGTGCCAAATAAAGGCATAATATAATATAATGTAATATCTCTACTTGTTATTTCCAGATTGTACTTTCAAAAAAGATATAAATCATTTTGATAGCAGTGTCATACTATCAGAAGCTCATTTAAAGATGATTACTAGTCATGTCCCTAAATCTCTTCTGTAATTTTGCTTCTCAGGAAAGAATTTTCCATCCCATTGCTAGGGCCTGCTGCAGTGTCTGATCTTCAAAGGAGTGCAGAAAAGCTGGAATTTAGGAAAATATTTAAAATCTTCAAAATGTACCTCCTAATGTGACTACTTAAAATCCATTAAAGAACTAGATAGCCTGTGGTCTACCTCAACCAGAAGCCATAGGCTTGATTTAGAAATAATTAAATGAAATTTTATGGTGTGCATGATGTCAAAGATTAGATATCATGGCTATAATGATACTTTCTGCTATCCCTACTTTTGTTTAAAGCAGAATAAAATAGTTGGGAGCAACATTTCCAGTGCTGTTGTGAGGTTGATATAGATAGGTTATTTGACAGAATCATAATGGAGACAAGTGTTATACTGCTGCTTAAGAACAGGTATATTTTAATTATATTTTCATCACTTTATTAAGCTTAGTTTAATGGAATTCTGAGTCAGTCAACCAGAAATTATTCTTTCCTGGCACAATGCAAATGTTAATACTCTTCCAAATCCCCAGTGATATGCAATTTTTCCGAAATTGGTATTTGATTTTTGTTTGTTCATTTTTTGTTCATTTTTAGCTTCCCAGTGAAGATACTGAAATATTTGTGAGTACTTCACAGTGCTTATCATTGCTGGTTCAGCTATATGGAGGGAACAGTCAGGAGAGTATGTCTCCAGAAAATATGGACAGCTTTGCTGAAGTACTGAAGTCCAAAAAAGATACACGACAACTGAAGCTTTTGTTGAGAATTGTAAAGAGACTGGTGAGTCAACATCTAAACTTTTTCAAAGTCTGCATGGGGTTTTTTTATATCGCTGGATCATTTTTTTGGCTGGTTTTTTCCTCTTAAAGGAAAAAATATTTTAAAATAAGTTTGAAAACAAAATACGTGAAGTTGATTTTCATGTTTTTGAATTTCACTTCTCTGGAGAAGATGGCCTTCTACACTTAAAACCTCTTGCTACATGATTGTTGGAGTTCTCCTGTTTCAGTTAACCATTCAGCTATTTAAATAACTCGTGCTATTTATATATTTGTTTAGTAATCCATCTGTATGAAGCATTGGAACAATTTTATGAATGTCTTCCGAAAGAACTAACTTGTTAGCATTAATAGCTGTTCAGAAACACAGTAGTTGATTTTATGGTGAATAAAATGCCATTTTACACTTGGAATAGTTCTGTGCGTAGGCTGTTGAGTCCTCATTCTCTCTGAGTGAGAGAGAGCGCTTCTGCTGAAGTGGTTGTGATGTAGAACTTCAGTCAGTGGGAGTCATGCAGGAGCTTATTCTGGTGAGGTTATTCACAGTTAGGAGCATCAGTTCTGTCATGCTCCAACACGGTGGCATCACAACAGCATTGTGTCTTTTAGGTAGCTTAGGTGGAAAACCTTCAATATCGGTAGCTTTGTCTCAGATAGTACTGTGGGGTTTTTATCTTGAAGTGTCTTGATGACAAGCCTTGCCTGCATTGTCACCAGCCTTGTTGGTTGAGTACTTCACCCTTTACTCTCCAAAAGCAGGAGTTTTCAATTAAATGAGGGTAACTTCCCAAGTGTAAGAGGCAGAAGGTACTTGAATTTTGTAAGTGCAGTGCTGACTACTAGAATAGTCATAATCATAAGCCATAATCCGTGGCAGCAGAAGTTAAGAGGAAGCAACCCTCGTAGAGAATTCAGAGCTGTTCTAGTCCTCTTTCTCTTGCCTACTGTATTTATATTACAGGAAAGTAAACACCATACTGTTCTTCCCTGTTTTGCCCAGTTCTATCTTGCTATAAAAGAAGCCTGTATATATAAAATTCAAATTGATATGGTGTTTAGAATTTTAAAGACACTTCCTCTGATTTTAGCTTGTACCTCTGCTTCTTTTTCTGAGTAATCATTGTGCTGTTTAGAACCGGCTTTTGCTTTTCCGCAAAAGCAGGATGAGAACAGAGGCAACAAAGTGTGAAGAAAGAAAAGAGAAATGAGGCTGCAATATACATATCTAGATTATTTAATTTTACCATAGGTACAGACTTGTTTCTTACTCTCCATTTTGAAGACCATTGTTCAAAAGTTGACCTAGAGTGCAGGATATTTAACATGGAAACTTCTGTTTACTATCTAAAGAGAACAAAGCAATGCTATCACCTTTTGAATCCTGCAAGTTCCTGTACTTTTAGTTCCTGTACTCTCCTTTGTATACCCGGTACTTGTTATTTATAATATCAAGCATAGATTTTCTGTAATTATTTTAATGAGATCATAGGATTTCTTTTGAAAGCAGGGTTCATAGAAAATTTGACAGATTATTTAATAAATCTTATGTTATTTCTCTAAACCTTAAAAAGTCCTGTTCAGAGGAGATGATTATCTTGTCAAAATTGTCATAATCACAAAAGACATTAAAATATAATCATATCTATTTAAGAAGGATTCAGCCCACATCAGCTGAATTTTGAAGTGTAGAGCACTGTTTTTCTTTTGTAGTATCTGAGCAATATTTTAGTAGAGGGATCAGTGAATGCACCAGTTTTCATTGTTGCTGATCAGTGCTTATATAGAGCGTCTTTTCAATTTGTGGTAACATTAACTTCACTGATGCAGGCACAGGTATTGCTTTGGTAAGACGGGAATGTACAAAAAGAACTCCATGTGCTTATGCTGTACATGCCTTTATAGCATGTATTGCTGGAAAGAAGGAAAAGGCATAGCAGTATGACTAGTTTCACATGACCCCAGTGAGCCAATGGAGACAGATGTCTCAATTTCAGAGTCTTCAGTTTAAAGTATTCCAGAGAATTTGTTGATCTCCAAGCTGACCTTACCTTGATGAAATGGAAAGTGATACCTATGTGTTGCTATCATTTAATAGTATTAATCCATTGGGTTGTATCTCCAGCGGGTGGACAGGGTTTTTTTGCAAGAAGTTGGAGATTTGTTTTGAGTTTGTTTTTGTTTGGGTTTTTTAAAGGTTGCTGTCAAATTTGACCAGCAAATTGACTTAAGGGCAATATAAACCTCTTCCAACACTTTCTTCACTGATTGTTTTCCTGCAATTCTTTTTGCATTCATTTGTTAAACAGAAATAAAGATATAGGCCAGCTTTTGTACAGGCTTATTAACGGAATCGCTATGAGCAGCCCTTTTAATGGGCTTTATTTTCCTTTAAAAAGAAATCATCAGGAGTGAAAACCAGAAAAAGTATGCTTTGAGCTAACTTTTATAGCTGTGTAAGTAAAGATCTTTAAAAGCTTTGAAGAGGCAGCACTGACTTTCTTCTTTCTGGTTTGTTTATAATTACCTTTTAGCTTTCAAGGCTTTTGGCTCTGTCAAGTCCAGGTTAACCAGTCTTTTTCAAGAATGTTCTCTCGCTGACATTGATATAATGGGCAGAAACTGAATAAAATTATTGAATCAAAGGAACATGGTTTGAGGGTTTTTTAGGGGGTTGTTTTGGTTGGGGATTTTTCCTTCTTCCCTTGTACTAAATCTCTGGTTCTGGTTGCTTCAACTTGGGTTAGACAATACTGCTATTCAGAAATACTTTATCTTTTTTAGCAGCATTTTTGTAACTGGTCAGTGACATCAGAGAGTGATCTTCTCTCATTTTTGTTGTTCTGGAAACCTCTCCTGCCACTTGTCCTGGAAATCACTACCTTATCCATCTCTTCTGTGAATATATAGTGCATCTTATTACAGTCCATTAAATTATCTAGATTAAAGTATTTCTTTGTGAAGCAGAAGAAATTTTCATTTGGGAAGCAAATAGTTTGGAGTTTGCCTCCTTTACTGAAGAGTTTTAAATTTCTTTTTTTCCCCAGAGGAAAAAATCTACCTGCCATCTCAATTTATCATCTAGTATGTAATGTAAAGGCATTTTTTAATAGAACTAGCTAATATCTTTCCACTGGGCACAGTATCATTGTGGGATTACAGCTTGGTACTCACAAATAAAATATTTCAGCTTTCAAAACAAGAGAACACTTTTTTATTTCCATATAATAAAGGAAAAACTCCTCTGAGAAAAATGAGTAAAAATCAGGCTTTAACCTCCAATTCTGCACTCGCTGTGGAGAGGGAACTTTTGTTCTATGACTTTTCCCTTAAGTACTACTCATAAAGGATATTGAGTTCTACCTAAATCACAACTTTTTTCTTCTGATTGTTTTTGCAGAATCTCATTTTCACTAATTTGTGTATCATAACTGTCAAAAAGTTGTTCACCCTTTATTTGTGAGCAAATAAAACATTTTGGATGTCATCTGCATGCCATATACCTTGGGGGGACATGTATAAGGATTTCTTAAATCATATTAGGCTGGATAGTAAAAACGTTAAGGCTGGAATGATAGTATTTGAGCTGTGGCAAAGTTCCATGGCATTCATTAATTTCATTGTAGGACTATTGAACTCTAATTTGATTTCCCTGCCACAGCAATGCCATCACTGAGCCACAGCAATGCCATCACTGTGTACCTGCAGGCAGATTTACTACCCTGTTTCAAATGAGCCAAAGCTTGAGGAACAAGTAATCACTATGTCTAAAATATCCTTAAATTCACATGTCCCTAAGTATTTCTGTCATGTAGATTAGTAATTATATCATCCTCAGTTTTATGCAGAGTCATGCTGCATTTGCATCTCTTGAATAGACAGCTGTGTGTTTGTATATAAAAATATATGTATATATTTTTACTGCTATCGTTCCCAGATTAGATCCTTGTTATATTAATCCCTGATCATGCATTATGAAGACATTTAGAGCTTGGAGAGATACACAGTCCAAGCAGCACAAATATTTGATTTAGAGTAGCAGTTCTGCAATCCCCTGGTAAGTCAAACTTCTTGCTGGAGGTTTGCTTCTCAGTAGATTCTCACAAGTACATCTATAGGGAGCTTCCCTCAAAGAAGGTGAAGCAAAATCTCAAGAGATTTTCAGATAGCATCCCTTTTACAGCTTCAGATCCTGGGATTCAGCTCCACAAGGAGGTGCTTGTGTGGCAGTTCCTAGAGCAGTCTGTTTTCCCATGGTCTTACAAAGCTGGGGGAACCTGTTTGCACATCTCCTGCCAAGGGAGCACAGCAGTCAAATAATCTCAAACTAAGTGCAGGAAAACTACTTGTGCATCTTTCTCATGATCTGAATCTTTTAAGCAGCCTTTAATCAATTTCATTAATTACCAAGGTAATCCATAATATTCCATTGCTCTAAGGCGTAATTTTATAATAGTTATTTGTGAAACTGTGAGCACAATATTCATTTGTGGGTTAAATTATATATGTTTTTAAAATTCAGGTGACTCTTATAGGAACAATTTCTGTCCTTCATTAGTGTTAATCTCTTATTTTCAAGTTGTTAGCAAGCCTGCATTCCTTCTCTATAGACCATCTTTTGTTGGCTTCAATCTATGAGAATAAAGTCCCTAAGACATTATTTTACGTATGTATATATGTATATGTGTATGTATATGTATGGGTATGTATATGTGTGTGTGTGTGCATGTGTGTGTACATATATAAAGCTGGAGCATTTCATTAGATATAAACAACTTGAGATCCCCCCAAAGAGGAAAAAGCTAATTGTCATTAAGTTACATGATACAGATCATAACAGGATGAGTTACTCAAAATCCTTTGAAACAAATACATGGTAAGGATAATGCATCTTCACCCTTCCCACCGTGTGGGGAAGCTCCCTCTGTTTGCACACTCAGACAGTGGGTTTTTTACAGTTTTAATGAAATTGGAGAGAGTCTCCAGAGATGAGAGACAGAGAGG